AATAAAAATTCAGCCATGTGCGACATGCTCGGGGGATCTTTGTGGAGAAAGGATCTGAAGAGATGTAATTTCCGTCGATTTCTTCAAAATGCAGTAGGATTTTCCCACTCTATCTATCGCAAGTAATCGCGTTCACGAAATGGTCTTTTCGTACTCCGATCTCAAAGCGAGTGATAACTTGCCTACAGTGCACAAAATGTTCAGTTTTCAATACGTTTTCCTTCATGTTAATAGACAACTTGGTAACTGCCAATTATTTCTCCCTTCCTTTATGGACCTCGAATCAATTGATGTTTTTCCATGTTCGGCATGACGAGAAATAAAAAAAAAACATTTCCACTTTTATCTCAGTAAACATTTTTTTGACTTTCACTATTTCATTTATTCGACGTTCGACATAGTTGGCAATCGTAATCGACAATGGCACTGTCGACACGTATATCTTCAACATTTTGTCGGAAGGCCCTATAGGACACCGTGCGCGCACTAAGCGTGATCACCATGCGTGCACTGAGCTGCATCCTTCTAGTGCATCCTTCTAGGTAGGGGAGCAGGCTTAGCGAAATTGCCAAGAGACCTTGAGGACCTGCTTGGGACAGCCTCAGTCCGAGCCCTGAAGGCCTGAAGTGTTCCTTGGGCCCGTCCCGACGATAGTGCAACACAGAATGGATCCGATCCCGACCGTGTGGCAGGATCTGCCTCCCGAGGTGAGTGACATGCGAACCTTGGGGAAGAAAGTCGATGACAGGAGGTGGTGGACTGTGAATGGCCCATGCAGTATGTTTATGTTACTTTTACGTAAAATGAATGTAAATTTTTTCCATTTTGTGACTTTTCTTTCACAAACCATCATCAAGATAATGTCAACATGTTTGCAGAAATGTCGCCTGTGTAATACGCAAGCAGTGATATAAAATTAACGTAAATTTTATGTAACATTGACATTCCTGTTTACATCACCAAGTGCAAGTTTATATTCATTTAACGTAAAATTGATGTTAATTTCCCCATGACATTCTTACGTATTTAACCAGCCAATTCGTTCTTTTGAAAGGAATTGATATACTGCATTTCTCCCATTCCTTACCATACTTTGGAACTCTTGCGCACATGGACGAGTACACAAGTACTAATCCTCATCAGATCTCAAGAGTACCAAGATGACCTACAGCTTCCTCATCCCGTTCCAGAACCTCCGAAGAAGTAGATGTTTAGTGGAGTTCTCTTCCATTTCGGATGGAGAAGGTGTAGTACTTTTGGAGCTGGGAATTCTACTCTTCCCATTTCCCGTGCACTGCAGCAATCCCAAACTTAACTTCAGCATTTAATGATTCCTTGAGCTATATATTATGAAAAATATAGAATAAATTCATGCTTTCCATATGCATTCATAGAGTGTATAATAAAAAAGTGGAAGGATGGTATGAAAACCTGGGCCATTCCATGACAACTGACAGAGGGATGACGCTCGACCATCTCAGAAAAAAAAGGAAAATTTTCACAATTAATCGGTCTTATATGAAAATGCATTATGAAATATTACGAATTTTCTCATGTTGGTCGGTTGGGGCCTTGGCACAGTTCACGCGTATATGCATTTCATGCGTATGCCCAGCAGCCCTGTCTGCGCGACAGCGAGCTGCCGCTCTCTCCAATTGTCTAATATGGATCCGTCATCCGCGAGGACTGGATGGAAGTGGGTGCTTTAGATTTTAGACAAGCACCCCTATTCAGGCGGAAAGCTGCACATGCGTAGTGGGCCGTGCTGTCAGGTCGCTATGGTTACTGCGGACTGACGGTATGAAAAAAAAATTGACAGACCGATCGGGATATCTGCTTTTGGCCTTTTTTTCCTATGGGAATAGCAGGTAATGAGCATTCAGTACACAGAACTGGCTACATGAATCAATGAATAACCAAAATTTCCAACTTTTACGGAACTTATGAAATCCACTGGGAGGGCCACCTCTCTCTTTCATTGTGAATGCGATAGGCATCAATAATTTCTTCCATTCGAGGGCCACACTGGAAGAAAATCTGGCATGGCCCTAGCATCACTTTGCTTAAGGAAAATTCCACGTGGGCGATTTCGCTACGTGGGCGATGCTTTCTTCGACTTGGCCTTTGAATGTCAAAAGGTCAAGATGTTGCAGGAGGTTGGCGGTGCGGCATGTGCATAGTCATGGTCAATTCCATGAGTACTGCGATGTTCCATTTCGAGCTGTTAAGTGTGAAAGTGCTAATTGTTGTAGTGGAGGAAGAAACGAGGAATTAGATGTCGCACCTGTAAATTCGCGTATAAAAGTTCACTGCTCTATCGAAGGTTTCTCCCAGCGATTTCACTAGAATTGTGATAATGAGCTCCGTTGTTGCCAACAGGTGCAGTTGGAGATATTTTCGTACTTGGATTGGGAAGATATCCTCTCCGTTCGTCTGGTGAGTCGACGATGGCGGGAGTTGGCGGATTTTCAATTCGAAGAGAAAGGAAAGATCGTGTGCGACGCCTCGTGGAACTTGGACGTGGTGGGGATACTGCATAGGCTATGGTCGTGGCACGTGGTGCCGCGGTCCTTGGTGTTCAAGAACGTGGCGCTCAATCGGGCGGTGTCGAGAGAAGGGGAGGAGGTGATGGAGAGATTGAGGGAGATGGCGTTGGTGTCGTGTGCGATTCAACCAGATGCGTTGGTGAGGCTGTTGGGAGCCTGTTCGAAGCTGAAGAGGCTGTGCTTGGACGAACCGGGCGTGTCCTTTCTGTGCCTTCTGCTGAAATTGATGCCAGGGTCTCTGCCGTCGGTGACTAGGTTGGAGTTGAGGTCGACGCGTCGGCTCGACGATTCGTTGCTGTCGGTGTTTTGGCAAGCCTGTCCCAATCTCATGGAGTTTTCCCTCTCCTCCTCGAATTTTACCCCAAATCCAGCCATATTTAATAGCTTCTATTCCAAAGGTTCAGAGGAGCCGTCGCGATACGTGCTAACAATGGGTCATCTCGAATGTCTCCTGCGTTCCAAGGAGAGGTTTCGTTCCCTCGCGCTCACTCAGATGAACTTGGACTCATCCTTGCTGGTCAATATCCTATGCGAATCGTCCATCGATCTCTGCTTCCTCGACCTGAGCGGCTGCAAGGAAGTCTCGTCGGGATGTTTGACGGAGATCGTCGAGAAGCAGAAGTCGCTCCCGGAGTTGCGACTCGTGGAGACCAGCGGCGTCGACGATGCGGTTCTCTCCAAGATCTGTAACCTCACTTTCTTGGAGGAATTGTGGATCGGGGATGTGTCTGTGTCATTCTCGAAGGATGTCCTCGAGGGACTTAATCGTCTTTGGGACTTGAAAAATCTTCATGTTCCCTGCTACGGTGAATTGTGCTTGGGAAACAGGGAACAACTGAAGTTCTTATCCCTTGAGTATTGTCGCCTGACACCCAATCTCGAGCAGATTTGCGAACCTCAGCAGTTGAGGGAACTGTGCCTCGAGCATTGCTTTTCGGTCACAGATTCAGATATGCGAATGCTCCTGGACTCTTTGGTGAACCTGGTCGTTCTGAGGCTTGAAGACCTTCCACTCACGGACTTTGCTTTCTTTTGTAGTGCGAATTCTTCTTGTACTGGGCTCGGAGGTGACAATAGTATTCTTATTCAATGAAAGTCTTAGGTTAGTTCTCAGCAAAGTGTTCAGCATTCGAGAATGCATGCTTTGGGGTATTTCAGAGTATTGTGCACGTTTCCATGGATCCTCGTGAAATGCACCATATCAAATTTGAGAGCTTCTATGCCATGAATATTCAGCGGTTCATGTAATGCGGTAATGGGATAGTGCATTATCACAAAGACTATTCAAAAGACCGCCGTAATATCTGAATATTTATACTTAACTTCCAAATGCTTTCCTTAAAATGAGGTCTCTCCCTAACTCTTGAAAACTAGCCTCATCAAAACGGTAGTCGCCTCTTGATTTCTCGTTAAATCATTTTCTCCACACTCCACAGGCTTTCGGGAGTTGCTTCTCGATGCATTTTCATAAAGTTTACCTAAAGATGCATTTGCATATGATGCTCCTATTATCAATCGTAGTTTATCCATGACAATTATCGACACCTCAGGGTTTGTCCTAGGAATATGCTACCATCATAATACTCAATGCAGTAAAGTTAGCGTTGAAACTGCCGCGATCAGTAGCATTAAAAATAGAAATGTTACTACTGAAATTAATCTTCCTGTGGTCAATTTGATGCTTCTATGCCAGTTACACAATTCCCCCCCCAAAAAAAAAAACAAGGATTCTAGTTGAGGGATAAGGAAAGCCCAAAATCTATCATTTCTTTCATATGTGAATCTTGGCCTCTTGATTGATTGATGATTGGTGGTTGCATATTACTTGGAATGACACTGAGGTCTCCGTAGTTGAGAAATAGGATTGATGTTCAAGGAGCCACATATGCAATGCACTTCGCATGACAAGTCAAGTCTCGCATTGCGAAAATGCAACAAGAAGCCTCCCCCTAAGACCAGTTACGTATACCTTGCGGATGTGTCGTGTCGCATTCCCTTTCTCCTTATCGCGCACATGCTTCTCCTAAAAATCCGACAAGTTGAAGCACGACACCTTTGACATTCTTTTAACCACATTTGACTTAGAAAACCTATAATTCCCTGATCCCTTCCAAAATCGTGTAGGAAATGAAATCATTTTCCATGCGCAGATACGTGACTTTTCATATTTAAACCTACACTACTTATTGCACAAAATCTCCACTCCATTCATTCAAAAATACTTTTTTTCTGGATTATATATAATAAAAAATTTTGTAGTAAATTTTTAGAGTAGGAGAGTTCCAAAGTAATGCATGATATGATATTGGCTCCAGGAATCACTTTTTCTGCATTGAAACTCAAGCTAAGGGAATTTTTGGAGGCAAGCGTGAAAAGCGTAGCTGAAAGACGCTTCGTGAGGGAGATGAAGGCTCACGTAACATCGGAGGAGCTGCTGCTGTCCGCCTGCAGCGACCTGGACTCTCCCTTGAGGAAGTTGAAACGTGAGTGCGATCTCCTCCAGACCTCCATTAAGATAAAAGAATGGTGTCAAATATGAATTTTCTCCTGTCAGGGCTGAAGGAGCTGGTGTTGAAGAAGATGAAAAATGTCTCGGACGTGAACGTCATATTAGGGATTCGAGACCAGGGTCTTACTCATCTCGATATATCGCTTTCTCCTCTGGTATGGTGACGTCATTCTCATCAAAATGTTAAAACATATAGCTATCTCTTTTGGGAAACTATGAGATATGCAGAAAGTACGCTACGTAGTCCATGCATCTCTTCAGGGAAGCTTCATCCTCAGTATTTTTCAGAGCCAGAAAATAATGAAATTATTATTGAATTGAAGATAAGTTAAATTCCTTTTCGCAGATTTTCTATTTTTTCAACCCTTTCCCTCCCGACGGAACTTACTAAGCTTTGGTGCTAACCCAACCAAGGGCCTCTGAAGAATTACCCAGGTTATCCAAGGGGGTCACACGGGTAGGAAGTGGTGGGGGGGAGATAATAATACTGGAATAATATTCATGACTTAAAAACTAGATTCTGTTTCCTCCGTAACTCCCGGGAGATGGAGTGTCAAAATTACCCGAATCGATTCGGAGTTGATAGGGTGGAGATCATGCCCGTCTTAGTTTCTTTAGCTGCTCTAAGGAATACTAACGAATGGAGAATTTGGTAACGAAAACAAGTTGATGAAAGAGAATAGGCACGACCAAAGACTCTTGATATATAGATCATTAGCAAGCGTGTCATGAATTAGAAGGCGTCGGGGAAGTGGCGCTTAACTATCGCCACAGGCAGCTAAATCGACCCCCCTTCATTTGCAAAATTGTTATTGGAATTAATAATTTCACGCATGGAAAATATTTGGGCTCTATTCACCATAGTTTGGCATAGTTTTGGGAATTCAAGAGGTGTCAGAAACCTCCAGATAAAATGTGGGGAAATCCCTTATATGGGAAGGATTTAATCAAACTCACATAAATATATAATCCAACAGTGCTAACATAGGCCTATACAAAGTCTATCTAGCTGGAAATAAGGGATAATGTCACTTGAGAGTTGGCCCTTGGTCTAAAAACAGCCTGGAACCCACAGAAGACATCTTCTTTTTACTTTTATCTGAAAATATAAGTTAATAGTTCAAATTAAATATATTTAGACAGACTTATTTACGATTGGTATGAAAATTTTGAAAATAAAGTTGCCAAAATATCAAGAGGATCCTTTTTTTGGCTTTTGGGATGAAGGCATAAATCACTACTTTGGGTGGATAGTCCAGATAGGCACATGAATCTTCAATCGTTTACTGCAGCTTCGACTCCAGAGTGGAACTACTTCAAGCCCTAAAAAATTTGCCAAAAACTCTGGAGGATATTATTCTCTTGCTCATTCAGAGAATCAGGATTCCACCACGATGTACCTAACCGACAATAGGTGCTGAATAGCAAAGACTTACCGTGGAGACAGGAATTTCGCAACAAATAGATCTGGTTATCCCAAATAGATTTTGCGTCCCAGGCATTACTCACTATTATTGTCATGCTTGGAACGATATCTGGTTCGTGGCGATGCCCCAGAATGCCAGAGCCAATTTAAATTGGGTCCACGAAATTAAATGAGTCTTTTACTGGGATATCCCGGAAATTATCAAGGGAAATTTACGGCCGGAAAAGCTGAGACTTCTTTTTTTCCCCGTGGATTCTTCGATCATCCTTCCTCTCCACCGCAATCACACACGGACGTTTCGCGTCCTTAGTCCGGATTCTTGGCGACGAATGAAGCCATGTCATCCGGGGCGTTAAAATTAAAGGTGACAACCAATGATGCTCACTTTTCCTAGCCTCAGTCCCCTGCAGACATAAAGACTGATCTGACTCAGAGTTACGAAATAAACTCCTGCACTGAGGTCGCAAATCAATAAATTTTGCAATGGACGAATTTGCATTTTTTTCACTTCGACCCTCCTCCCCATATGGGTCGTTTGCAATCCCGAAAACAGCATCACTAGCTAACCAAACAACGCTTAATGATAAGTAAAAGTGACCTTCTAGTAATACATTCCGACAAAGTCCCTTCTTGATCGATACTTACTTATTAAGAAAATGCACTTTCTGCAACGTGTGGAAAGATACGGTGCTCAGAAAAACGTCCCATATCAATGAATGTAAAGTTACTCGGAATGTGCAAGGACCGTATACAGAATTGCCTGAGAGTTAGGATAATAACCGTTCCTCACCATCACTCAAATGGTTCTTAGTCAGAATTATGTTCGATTTTTTAAAATTTACCTGTAGTGAGGACTCTTGAAGCTGCAACTGCAGGGGAGTCAGTTAAAGGTTCATGTTTATGGTGTGGTGTTGATTTTGCATAAACTTGATATCATGTACTGTACTTTACAGTGAGGGAAAAAACTGTGGCAATGTTTGACACATTTCCAGTTAATGGCTCATAACTCAAGTATGACGTGTTCAATTTAACTTCAATTTCGGTCAACCATACTTCTACTTTTAGGCTTTCGATTGATGCTAGTCGCGTGTCACCTGACCTCCTATTGGCTGAGCTGCAGCTGTTCAGAGTCAACCATGTCATTGACACAGATTTGTCCCTCACACTAGGACATACAGAAATTGGAATTTATCTCTACTCTGTGCATTCGCCTTCGGTCTTCAGCACTACCAGTACCCTTTTAGACATGCTCTCGATCAAATCCAAGCATATTTGGACGGGAATGGCATCCCACTCGGTTGTGACCCGTCGCCACAACTCGTGGATGCTGATCGGCTCATTTTTGTACACAGCTAATCTTCGCTTCAGATGTTCCATTGGGTTCAGGTCTGGTAACTGCTGGCCATTCTAGGACCTCGATTCTGTGGTCCTGGAAGCATTGGTGAGCCATCCGCGAGATCATTGTCTTGCCGAAACGCCACCTCTCTCACTTTCAGCCGGTCGAGCTCAACTGTCTTGAGCAATTCGTCCTCGATGATGCTTGTATGCACCTAGGCATCTATTCATCCTCGTATTTGACACCCACATGCAACTCCTTCGGGCGTCATGTAGCCCCAAAAGGTCAGGACGACACCATTATACTTGCGCGTTCCCTTCCCAAGCCGACCTGCTAGGGTCTCGACAGCTGGTGGAATTCGCCTACCGTCAGAAACATTGAACCATAGAGGACTGGAAGCGTATAATTTGGTCAGACGAGACCAAAATCAACCTTATGAAGTCGGATGGGCGTGATTGGATATGGAAACAGCTTGGCAAAGCCTTAACACAGTGGCATGTCAGAGAGGCGTTGCTTGTGTGGTGGAGGCAGCCTAATGTTTTGGGGCTGCATGACGGCCAAGAGTGTCGGATATGGATATCTAATACAAAGAAGGATATATGTGAATGTGTATGCAAGCATCATCGAGGACGAATTGCTCAAAACAGTTCCAAGACAGCTCAAGACAAGACCTCGGCATGGCGGAGTCACCGACTCTCACCCTACTGACGCGCAAATTATCTTACCGGACTCCAGTCTGTGATTTCCATGGCGATTCCACGTCCCCATATCATCTCCATGGAACTTACTGAATTGACACTGCAGTCCTCTGCCGTTTCGCCCCTTCCAGAGTAAGAGCGAATGGTTCTATGTAAAATTCCTGCCATTTACCGGACATTTCCACCATAGGTTGTCGAAAACTTGTAAACTCCCACTCGACCGGGAATTTCCATGTATATTACGTATCAATCACAGGTACATGTTTTGTAAAGGAACTGTCGGACACCAGACTTCTTTGGTTTTGTGTCAATTGAGAATGAATCCAACAATTATCAGAGATTTCTTTCAGCTATTTGCTATCCTAATTGGTATTTTCAATTTAATGGTGAAGGGTGTCCAGAGAATTTTTGAGGCGGCCGGCTCTCCCTTGCCTCCCATGACGAGCCGCTATTGGGAGAATCTCCCTCGCGAAATCGCGAAGATTTCCCAGTGAAGGTCAGTCGAAACGCCAAGTAACGACTACAAAACCACCCAAATATCATCCACGTACTTAGAATAGGGAAAAGTACATTCTCCGTCAGTTGCTTGTCCCTCGAAAAAACCGAATGCGACACCTCGTATTGCGCACGTGATGACTCTGGTCGTTGAGGTCAAGCAATCATGCATCATTAGAAAACTAATGGTGGCCTCAGCACAGGCGATATGAGATTCCTTGTACAGTATGTCCCTTCCGTATGCGAATCTTTTTCCTGTTTGCTTTCTTATTGAATTTTTACAGCATAGCAACAGTCCTTGTAAATGTCATCGGGAGCAAACGAAGCGCTCTCGAGCCCGCGATGAAATGCTCTGAGGAAATCCTCACAAAATTGTAAACTTCCATAAGATATTGCAGAGTGGTAGAGGCAAATATACGATTTCCTATTTAAATTTAAAGGAATTTCGAGATACCCCAAAGCATTCTTCTGCGTCTCAAACTCGAGAAATTTAAAAAATCATATTTCAATTAGTGCAGAGAGATACCCGAAGACACCACCGAAGGTCCACACCATTGACGGACATCCTACGAGTCCTTCTTAGAGTGCTGCAGAGAGCCTCGTTTACTTCTCATCACTTTTACAAGAAGCGTTACATTCCCGGAAAAATAAATGAAAGAGATCCGCTTACGAAAGTGGACATACGAGGAAAGGCATATCGTCTTCACCGAGGCCGCCATTGACTTTCTAATGTTCACCACGACGACCATGGAACGATCGGAGTCAGGTGACTATCGCATCCACGATACCATTCATCGGAACGGTCGAATGCTCGATGCTGTATACATGTCATTATCATCGCGTTCATTAAGGCAAATAGTCAGAGGAGACCCCTCCGTTCCTCATATAATATGCAAGGTGTGGCAACAGGGATTCAAGGACTTCTATTTGGTGCATGCCTGTTGCCCTTGAAAGAAGTTTTCACAAATTGTCTTCCGCACACAGAATGCTCTCGATGTTTTTATCTCTGAGAAAGTTTTTATTCGATTTCTTACAGAAAAACCCAGCAATTTGGCAAATGTTCCGCTGGCATTTCATCCATGCCAAACACAGCATCAGCAAATAAATGTATTTTTAGGATCACCTTTTCTCGTCGATGCTTTTGATGTGTATATGAAAAATGAACTAATTAGTACCAAATCGGTGTGGGCTCACAGTTCATTCAAAACTTCCAACGCTCTTCGTTGGAAGATAACGCATGAGGACTTGGGGAAACAAGCGCAAACGAAAGAGACCGTAAACTTTCCGAAAATAAAGATCAGAGATCATGAGAACAAAGAATTTATGAAGATACCATTTTCCCAGAGTCCAAGTGAGGAATTCGTATCGTAATGAATAGTCGGATCGCATATAGAGCTCCTGAGGTTTCTCCAGAGTTGCTAGGAAAAAGTGGGAAAGGGAAGTGGGAAGTGGCTAGAGGTAGCACGGAGGACAGGTAGATGGAAATGCAACTGATATCGTTGTGGCACGCGCGTGACTCGCACCAGTGCCACGCACGTGACTCCGCGTATATATATCCATCCCCTCGTCCAAATCGCCTTCACGGAGCTCTGAAACTCCTGCGCGATGGGACAGCCTCAGTCCGCGGCCTGAAGGCTTGGGGTGTTCCTTGGACCCGTCCCTACGATAGTGCAAGATAGAATGGATACATTCCCGACCGTGTGGCAGGATCTGCCTCCCGAGGTGAGTGACACGCGAACCTTGGGGATGAACGTCGATGCGAGGAGGCGGTGGACTGTCAAAGGGATGCGGAAAGGCACTTCAATTTCTCTCGCTACGTGGGACAGGGAATTCCTCCTGGGAATCCCTCATGTTATATTTGTTTGTTTTTTTTTTTTTTTTATGTTTTATTTTTTTGTTTTTTTTTTTTTTTTTTTTTTTTTTTTTAGTGGGCCTCTTTTCCTAAAGGGAAAGACACCACTTATTCCCCCCTTCCTGTCCGTCCGTGTGTCCGTGTGTCACACTTTGGTTATCCGACGATAACTAACAAAATATTGGCCTGATTAATGCGAAAAATGGCAAGCGGATAGACATGAACAGACATAGGCTGAGTTATTTTGGGACGAACTTGCACCAAAATAGGCACTTTTATTGCAAATTTTGGATTTTAAATTTGGTCACAGGAGAAGGCATGAGTACCCATGAGCCTTTCAGGTTCTGGACCACAGCGCGCATGCGCGTATTACCCAGGCTTTGGATGCGGTGCCGTCAGCAACTAGAGTTGTTTATTCCCTACCAACCTTTCGGGCGGATGGACCCTGCCACGCACAGCCCTCCATCCTTCCATCACCGATTCATGGTATCGGTTTGTATGTGTTTATCAAATATAAATGAGAAATTAGGTTTTTGATGGTGGGAGACTGGAAGGAGCTGGCATTTTGTTCGATTGGGGGACAAAATGAGGGTTTCCTTAACTGAAAGGAGGCC